GATTATTAACATATGTTCATGAACCATCTGTGAGGGAAGTAGTTAGCATTAGTTTTCCAAAGACAGGTCATGATACCATAGTTAGTAGTTAGGATTAATAGGTTCTACCAAGGACAGAAATGTTGTTGGAAACATTTTTGCTTTGTGTGAGTTTTATAAAAAGATTCAAACACATTTTTCTTGATGTGAAGCATATCTAGGGTGCCCAAGAAGATGGTGTACATGGATGGATTTATGCTGGACTCCAGATGATAGAGCAATGACTGGGGGGTCAATGCTGATGCTCCATCCTTTTTTGTACCTAACAAGGTAAATTGAAATACAAAATACATCACTATCAAAGAGGTAGAACAAAAATGCTGGAGGGGAGGTAGTCAGTGAGTTACCAGAATGAGAATTCAAAACATTTTAGGTGAAAAATACTAACAACCAATGATATGAGTATTTTTCCATGTCCAAATTATCCCATGTAGGGGCTGGGGATTTAGCTCAGCGGCAAAGCACCTGCCTGGCAAGTGCAAGGTCGTGAGTTCGGTTCCTGGTACCGGAGAAAAACCAAAAAAAAAAACAACAAAAAAAACAAAAAACAAAAAACAAATTATCCCATGTAATTGTCATAGTGGATATCAATGTTACTAATAAGTCTCATTTTCTGCATGCTTGCCATGTGCCAGACTCTGCATAAGCAGTTTCCGTCTTTCTAAATAACCTTTGGCTGTAGACATCTTTTCTCCCTTTTTCAGAAAAGGAAACTGAAGACAAACAAGCAGCTTCTGGAGACGGAATTTACACATAAGTCAACCTGACATCCAGTACTCTGTTTCTGTTTACATAAAATGTTACGGGAAAGTATAATTCTGCTTTAAGATTCAAGACGGAGATCAGTGCTTCTGGGGAAGGTTTTGTTTGCGTGTAAGCAGCTTGTGCATCATCCAGGTGAGTCACTGCCATTCCCTGAAGGAATAGCATCTTGGAGTATGGACCACTGCTCAGGACAAAGGAAGGCAAGAGTCACACTGTGCCCCACAATGAACGCAGTGCAGTGCGTGGCTCTGAGACACTGATCGTATGACGGCATTGTCAGCTTAGGCAAGCCCTGGGTAATTGGAACTGTGTGGTCGTGGAAAAAGTTGCTGAAGAAACTGCAAGTTGTGATCACATAATATGACAAATGTTTCAATTTTTTTTTTTTTGGTTTTTCTCCGGTACCGGGAACTGAACTCACGACCTTGTGCTTGCCAGGCAAGTGCTTTGCCGCTGAGCTAAATCCCCAGCCCCCAAATGTTTCAATTTAAAAAGAATTAATTTTAGTGAAAGATACATTGCCACTAAAACACTCCCCACTTCAGTCAGACACACCTATCCCATCTTTTTGGCCACTCTATGGACCAGGTGTGGAAGTCCTCTTTCTGGAGTGTCTTTAGTTGTTTTCTCCAGTAAGTTTTTTTTTGTTTGTTTGTTTTGTTTTTTTGTTTTGTTTTGTTTTTCTCCGGTACCAGGAACCGAACTCACGACCTTGCGCTTGCCAGGCAAGCGCCTTTGCCGCTGAGCTAAATCCCCAGCCCCTTTAGTTGTTTGCTTGTAGCTGCCTCGGTGTTCTGAATCCACTCCCAAAGTTTACGCTGTACGATCATCTTGACTTTGGAGCAGAGTCAGAAACCCCGTGGCATTCCACGCTGTGAGGTGGATGAAGTCCATCCACAATGTTTCTGTTTGACAGGAATTGCCGTAAATGTTTTGAATGGATTCAGGACATCAAGCAGCCATGACAGCACAACTAAAGACACTGAGGAAAGAGGAGTCCCAGAACTGCTTCAGAAAGTGACAAGAATGATGGGAGAAGTGTGTTCAAAGCAGGAGTATTATAAGGGGGGTTGTTGACAATGTGTCTTTTACTGTAATAATGTTTTTTGTTTTTTTTTTTAATTCAAACATACATTGTATTTTTGGTCAGTCCTTGTAAAAAACAAGCTAACTCTAGCTGTGTGTTAATATTTGCTAATGCATACTACAGGCCAGATACTAGTCTCACTATTTCTCGGCATTAATATGTTTGGTTTTCATGATAATCTTAGGACATAAGTGGTATTATTGCTACCTGTATTTCACAGGAAGAGTAAACTGAAGTGAACAGAGATCATATGTCCCTTCCCAAGGTCACAGCCAGAATCTGTGAAAGTTTGGCTATTATTTTCAGTGGAAACAGGAAATTACAAGAGCAATTATACACATTATTAGGCTACCGACAGAAAAGAACAAACCAGTGAAGGTATTATAACAAAGTGCAATTTGATTCCCTCACAAACATCTAACAATTTACATTATTTCAAAAGGACACTGCTGAATGTTTTCAATCACGCATGTTTTCAGAGGGACTCTGTGGAGGATCACTTAGGCAGCTCTCCTTGAAAGAAGAGTGATTGTCTCCATTTTGGCTGAGCCTGACCCTACTTCCATGTATTGATGTGTACAGAGCTGGGTAGGACCTTTTCTTTATCTCTTCAACTGGCTTTAAGGAAGGCATATTGGTCTAGCCAAGGTGCTGATGGTGATCTTTGGAGATGGCAAACGTGTTTCCCCTGGACCCCCGTTGTTCCTAAGAGTGAGCTGGGATGAGGCAGGATGTGTGAGCCAATGCTCCATGCTCTCAGCTGGGAGGGAGCCTTGAGATAGAGGCTATAACTTCCTGGGGCTTCAGAGATTATACATCAGAATGGAAGCACCGACCCCAAAACATTAGATACTCTCTCAATTGTGTTATGCAGATTACTCTCTCTGCATATCCTTCTTTCTGCCTTTGCAGAGGTGATTTCAGGCCTCCTACCCAGCCCAGCTCACAGCACTCACCCACTTCCCATGGTTCTCACAGTCACTCATCCTCAGGCCACTCCCTTCTTCATGAATGAATAAAACCTGGGTTCAGCCTTGGGTCGAGGCCTTTGTTCCAGATGGCCATCATCGTGGCTGGACTGAGGACCCTCTGGCTCCCCGTAACTACAAATGTGTCTTAGAGCCTTCATTCTCACTATGGCTTGCGCTGGACATGGTAGATTTGAACTGACTCACTAGAATTCCAAGAACTTTTCATCGGATCACAAATATAAACTCCTGGGCTGCGATGAGGACTGGGAAGGGCTCTCTATAGGTCCTATAACATCTGAAGAGGACAGATAATATGTTTCCATGTTTTCTCCCAATTCCACAAGCCTATCAATGTCAACATAGCTGCCTCCTGGTAGATAGATCTGGTAGTATTTATCCTCCTGGAATCTCGAAATGTATGTACGAAAATCTGTGTTAACTGGAACTTGGTTTCAAGAACACTACATCAAAATGTGTTGCTGAATCATGCTTTTTCAAAGTCAGAGGGCAATTTTTCAAAGTTATTTAATATTCATGGGTCTCTCTACTCTTGAGTACATACATCCAGTCAACAAAGATTTACCCATCACCCACTGTACATTGTGCTATATTTGATACCCAGCTCTCTATAGTTTGCTCATTTAATGATGACAAATTTCCAATCAAAAGTTTAAGTGATTTTCTCACATTCGCAGGGCTTGGAAGAGACTAGGAAAAACCTGGAGCCCAGGCCTGTCAACCACGCTGTCTTCAGTCCCTTACTCTCTAGTCCTTTCCCAAGAAAGCCACGTAGGTGGACATATATCACAAACGATTTCTATAAAAAGGGTCTCTACCTGTCTTCTTGAGCCATCCCTCTGCAGACATCATGGGGCACACTTTCACTTAGAGCCAGCAAGGTGGTTGTTGGTGAGATATAAGAGTTAAAAAAGAACAAACGAAAATCATTGTTTTCATTCTTGGAGGGCTGTATCAAAGACCTCCAATCAGAAATCTGGGGAGGAGAATGGGACTAAAACATCAGTGTTTTTTTAAAAAAATACTAATTTTTCATTTGATTCTCATTTGCAGCAAAGGTTAAAGACCACTTTCAGTAGAAAACATCCCTGCAAATATTTATAAATACTTATAGCTGCAGTCCTGATGAAAGTGGTGCCTGTAGCTATGATAACCCACTCATTTTTATCAACCAGCAGGGCTCAGAGATGGTGAGATCCACAGATGGGGGGGTCTGGTCAGAAACCAGCACGGGAGAGAATTCTGGGAGTGTCACCTCTGTCACCAACAGGCAGCTTCTTCTGCAGCATTGGCTCACTGTCACTTGTCTTTACAGAGAAGGAGCAATTTCAACTCACTGAGTGGAATTCTGCTAACACAGGCCCTTGCTGGTGCACAGATCAATTCCCTGTGATTAATTTACTAAGAACCACCCACTAATCCTTGTTTGGAACCTTCTCCTCTCCCCCACAGACACACACAGACACACACAGACACACACACACACACACACACACACACTCAAGCACTTCTAAGGATAACATTTTTTTAAAAATTGCCAGTTTGAATATTTCAACAAAATATTTAGGTATTTTACTTATGATACTTAAACAGTTCTTTCTAGAAAGAAAAGCATAACCCTATAGTCAGCAACAGACCCTGCAAATCACTGAGAAGAATGGGGCCTCCTCAGTGCTGTGCGGACTGTGGTGTAGGAGGACGCTGTGGACCTCAGATTCTCCGTGTGTCAAATGCTTCAGCGGCTCCCTCACTGCCCTAGCACGCGATGATGCTGATTCATCTCCTAGGGGACCCAGCCAAGACGAAGATGCCTTCTCAAGGAGTTAGCCTCTTTGGACTCTTAATGAGGTACAAGAAAATGATCCAGGACGAACAAAATGGTTTTGTTTATTTTCCTGCATTATCTCCTCTCCTGGCACCATGGAGCAGCCTTCACTATTGCTAAGGAAAAAAAATGAAATGTTCCAAGCATCGGGACATTCTGGGCAGATTCTGAAACCTCATTTGTGATGTCGGCTGGGCACAGTGGTTGATTTTCTTTGTAGGGTGTAGCAGGGGAACAGAGAAAAAAAATCTTCATTAATATGCCAGAACTAAATGCAAAATAACTGGGCCTACAGTCTAATCTAATCATGCTTTCGTTTATTCACCTCATATAAAATCTCTTAAGAATGCATTTGAGCACAATATATAATAATAGTACTATAACATACATTGTGAGGAACTTTCGAAAACAAGAAAATGTCCACCTAGAACAATGCAGTGCTGATAGACATACAACCCATTGGTCATGCACGCCTGTGCCATTTCTTTAGCTATTGAGTCACAACGCTGAACCGAAGCATGAAACATATTTTACAAACTGAAACGACACCAGGAAGAGGCCTAGCAAGAGTTATCAGAAGAAGCTTCACATTTGCATAATTTACAACATCAGTTCACATTTTATTATAAAAATTCACATTGTTTTATTGTTTTCTTTCATAATGAATTGGAACATGACATTCCCGCAGTATAGCAGGCAGGAAGGAGGCTAGCTCTTCGGAAGTCAGTAGTTTGGGGGCACTCAGAAGAATCTTTTGTGAGCAAATGTAGTGTTGCTTTTGGAACTGAACCCACAATTAGAGTAGAACCCAGTTATAACTCAACTCATGTGTACACAGATTTGGATAAAACATGGCTAAAAACTGCATCCCTTTGCCCCCTACCCCTATCAAACTATACAAAAGTAAAAGCTCAGTATAAACCATTTTGTATCTAATGTGAGAATCCTGTTCGCAAAACTAGTTTGTAAAGGGTTGCAGCAACTCAGACAGGGAGAGGGCCGGCCCCGGGGGCACCCAACCCCTTCCCGTCCTGACTGCACAGGGAGGGGCCCCTTGTCTCTCCGAAGCACTGTCTGGGTTATATAATACACAATACAAAACATGACAAGAAAAGGTCGCAACTCTTAGGCAGAGTCTTCTACACAAATTTAACACCACCATTGGCAGGCAATGTTAGATATATAAATTAATAACTTACAAAACATTACAGTATATACATTAAGTAATAAATACACGGTTACGAACAGGAATGGAGGTGTTAGCATGAAAGGCAGTGCGAGCGAAAAAGAGGCAGATCAACCTGCAAACAGTGCTGGGAGGGGGAGAGGGACAGGTCGGGGTCCTGCAAAAGGGGGTTCTCAGGGGGTCAGGACAAAACGGGCAGGCTGCCATGTTAGCCTGAGGCTATACCACAACTGCCCCTTCCTGCCCCATAGTGTTTTTGACGTTTTTCTGTTGATATCACAAACAGTGAGACCTCAGAGGAAAAGTACTGTTTGAAGCAAGCAAACAGAGCCAAGCGGCCAGGGCCACCGTGGAGCCGGATGGACCGTGGGGGAAGGAAGTAGAATGTGGTTAGAAGCATGTGTCTGCTGTCTGTTTGCAAAAGTTAACTGTAGGAAAGCGAAAGATATTGCCCAAGAAAGAAGGAAGACTGTTTTCTTTCTTTTCTTTCTCTCCCCCCAGAAAGAGTCAAGAAAAAAGTGTGTATCAACTTTGAATGCTTATCTGTGTAGAAGTCGGTACTAAACTCTAGGTGTTCAACAAGCATTTTCAAGACATGAAAATGTTTTACAAAAAGGCACACAGGTCGGCAGACAAGGGGACAGTGAGCAGATTCATCAGTGAACGTGTGAGTCAGTGAGTTCAGTCACTAGTCGGGCAGGGCCCCGAAACTTAGTGCGGAGAAATCTCTCAGTTTTGTGTCTTCCGTGTTCAAGCTTTTGGTTGTGACTGGAACCGGCCTGGGCCACCACGTAAACCTCAGCTGTCTACCAAGCTGCAAGCCAGGCAGGTCAACCAGTCAACCGCGGGTTTCCTGAGCTGCTGTTTGCTCCTCGGCCTTGCGTTCTGGCCCCAAACTTCAGTGAGCGGAAAGGCCAGTGGCCTCTGTCCCATGCAGGCCTCGCCCCATGGTGGGCGGGTCCTACCCACAGCTGGCATGCTCCTCAAGGGTGGGATGTCCTTCCCTCCCGAGAGGGAGATTAGGTGTCAACTGGGGACTTGTCTTCTGTCGCAGGGTCTACATCGGTCTCGCCCAGCAGATCCCGGTTCTCTGGGTCGATCACACAAAGTGTCTTCGTGCTGCTGAAGTAGCTGTGGCCCTCGCCTTCCTTCTCAGGCCCCTCGGAGTCCTCCTCCTCCAGGGTCAGTTCGAACTGAAACTTTTCCACCAGGCCTGGGCAGTCCCGGCTCCTCTCCTCCAGCGGCGGGGAGGGGCTCTGGGGAATCATGCTCTGGTACCAGTTCCTGTTATCCTCTAGCGTGTCTAGAATGTCCTGAGCATCGGGCTGGACCAGGTCAGCCCAGGTCTCCCACAGTGGATGGACAATGTAGTCGATGAAGCCAACCTGGAGAAAAACAAGATTATATTCCTGTTATTGCAATGGGTTGATGAATGCCAAGCCAGTGATCGAAGTTTCAGAAATCAATAATAAGTGATTCGTTTATTTGCGCACTTACTATATTGCCGGTCCTGTACTGGATACAATGTATACAGTACATTTCTTAATCCTGCAAATTGAGTATTGCTTTCTGTGGGGAACTGAGTCTCGCTTAAGTTACATTTATTTTTATTTTTTATTTTGTTTTGTTTTTTGGTTTTCTCCGGTACCGGGAACCGAACTCACGACCTTGCACTTGCCAGGCAGGCGCTTTTGCCGCTGAGCTAAATCCCCAGCCCCTAAGTTACATTTATTGAATTATTTACTTTTTCTCCTTTCTTTCTTTCTTTCTTTCATTCTTTCTCTTTGCAGCACTGGAGTCTGACTCAAGGGCTTTTGCTCTGAGCTACATCTCCAGACCTTTTTCAATTACGTATTTTATTTTGAGACAAAGCCTTGCTAATCACCAGTTCCAGACCAGTCTGAAACTTTTGATCCTCCTGCCTCAGCCTCCCAGAGCAGGGTACTGGAGGTGTGAGCCCTGTGCCCAGCTGAGATGAAATTTCTCCTAGAGGACACATCACCAGTGAGTCCGATTCCAAAGCCTGTGTTCATCTTGCTGACAACACACTGCTTTTCCTTTTATGTGCGCTGGGTAAGAGGTCTGGGTGCTACGCCGGCCGGGAACGGCTTGGTCAGACTCGTATCCGTGAGTCATTCTCTGAACAAGGAAGCCCCAGGTCTGAAGTGCTCTGACTCAACCTTCTCTCCCTGATAACTGTAAACTGTGCTACTGCATCAAAGTGACAGGAGCTGGCCCGTCTACTCTGGAATCTCTCAAGTTCTGGGGGATGCTGCGGCCTGTAGAGGAGTTTGATAAAACACTTGAAGAGAATTCAAGCCCTAAACAAACAAATATCCCCTCTGTGGACAGGCGTGCTATTGTTTGGGACCCATCAGGCACGCAGTCATTTCCATCCGAAGAAAGGAGGAAAATAAAAACAATTAAGCAGTTCCTTTTGCTGCCGTTCCTGCGAATAAGCCCGAGGTGTAGGGCTTTGTGACCATGTAGATGCGGCTGTGTATCCTGGTGTGGCCTTGTGCTGACCCCCACACCGTCAGACAAACAGGAAACCCACGCCGGCGGGGGCAGGTAGACAGGGAACGGCACCACCCGAGGGAGGGAATGGAATTCCCCGGTCCAGGCCAGGTCTTGGGCTGGAGAGATACTGGGCCAGGCGGGACTCGGGGCAGATGGGGAAGGCTCCCCCAGGACACTAGACATTAGGGCTCCCTTCCCGCTCCACTGGAAAAAATTCTTTATGGTCATTTTGGTATTCAGCCAGTCATTTAATATTGTCAAATTGTGTTATAGTCAAACACTTTGGTCACATGTGACTTTTTCATATAAAAATACATACGCAAACGTGTGTGTGTGTGTGTGTGTGTGTGAGACAGAGAGACAGAGAGAGAGAGAGAGACAGAGAAAGAGAGAGAAGAGGCAGGGAGGAGAGGGGAAAAGAGGGGAGGGGAAGGCAGGGGAGGAGAGGAGAGCAAGAGAGAAGAGAGCAGAGAGACAGAGGGAGACTGAGATTGATCCCTCCACCCGCTGTCCTTTTTTAGCCCTAAAAAACAAGATTCACACTGAAGTTGGGGCATCTCTGATCTACACTGGTCATAAGAACTTGACTGGATGATTCAGATATTTTTTTGTGTGTCCACCCCCTCCTTTTCTCTCCTTTCTACTTCTTTATGTGTGCTCAATGGATTTGGGGGAGCTATTTTCAAGGTATTTTCTAGGGATCAGAAATAATCTCAAGGTAACGGAGAAAACTGAATAAGCTGAACACAGTGCAGTCATTTCCTTTCTCCATTTTGCTTCTGCTAAGAAATGCATCGGACTTTTTTGGAAGGGTAGCCTTGCTTACTTCCTAAGTAATGGTTGAGAGAGCCCTACAAATCCTAAGAGCACCTAGAACAGGGCTTTATCGGCAGAGAAATCAGAGACAGTCCAACAGAGTCCATCTGTGGGAAACCCCAGATTCGGCAATGCCGCGTGGGCCTCGGGCAGACTTGTCCATTGAGACGGAGAGGAGAGGGGAGGTCTTGGGGCGGAGGACAGCTGGGTAACAGCAGCTGTTGAGCTGGACCAAGAGGACGATTTCTTTCCTGGACCCTGGCCAAACACCTGTGTTCTCTACCCTTGCATGACTGCTTGGGGGCTCACGTAGGAGAACGTATGGGACAGCGTGTAGAAAACCACACTAAACACCGTGTAAACATGAAGCACCACTGTTACTGAGCAAAGACGTGCCGCTCTTCATTCAGACTGTAGTCCAGTTAAACCCCTATGGCTTTTGAGATGGCCCGGGTTGATTTAGTGCTAGCACACATTTTTATAGCATTTAGGCTTTAGATAAATTTCACGGATATGAAACTCAGATCTTTAAGCAGCAACAAAAATGAATTACAAGGGAACTATACATTGATAGTACAAATATACACAAATTTGGGGTTTGCAGGTATTTGAGAAACGATAAACTCTAAGGAAAAAACGCTCCCAAGTGTTTTGAGTTAGAGACTGTGGAAGTCTTCTGATGGCATGCAATCATAGCACGTGGCTTGGACTATCTGTTACCTAAAAAGTACCATTTCAGGGGCCGCTGACACCTGAGTACAGGTGATGATGCCTTCGAGGGGTACATAGCCAGCAGTTGTTGGTGTCTGGGGCTTTTCTGCAACCCAAACTCCCCAGAGCATTCTTTCTTGTCTTCAGAAGACACAGAATTTGGACACAATCAGCGCATGTCAGAATGTTCCCGAAGGCATAGAGGCCACCTTGGAAGGGGACAGGGACAGGGCTTTAAATACCTCTGGGGATGGTGGTAGCATGCCTGGTAGTGGACAGAGGGCCACAGTGGAATGCTGGGGACAAGGGTGAGGTGCTGAGCTCCTGGATGGACACGGAGCTAGGAAAAAGGGATGCAGGAGACGGAGAGGCTCAAATGCTATTGGCCGACTCTGCCGAGTGAGGGATGACTATCTGAACAGTGTGCAGACCCGCAGTCCAAACACGGGTGGCCTTCTGATGACAGCTTAATCCCCACCCAGTGACGCTGAGTGCAGTGGAGAAGGCAGATAAGTCAGGCCCATAACGCTTAGTGTGCTGCTGCTGCTTTATCAGTTCACGCATACATATGTGCTCTGTTAAAAGGAAGGAACTAGATAGAACACTCCAGTTCCACAGTCAGTAGCGCTCGTAAGAATGTTGATAAATCATACTTGGGACACAGTACCTGGGATTTTTCCACAGAAGCAGTGTGCTTATCACACATCGGGCTAATCTCCATTCCTCTCTCCCGCTCTTTGTCTCCCTGTTGGAAAAACTCCTCCATGATGCGGTCTGTCCACTGCCGATACAGTTCCAAGGACTTGGTGGGGTTGCTCAGGTCTGCACAATGTACCATGTTGCGAAGGACCTGTAATCATAAAGTTTTGGAAATCCTGTAAAGATCAAGCATAAACACTACCAGAGAACATCTCGTCCCTCTCGTACTTTAGTACAAAACTCAGGGACATTTTAGTTGCCATTTAATTATGACACACACATCCCACAGAGCAGAATTACAGTGGTTTGGAGAGGGCTAGCCATTTACCATTCAAAGGTCCCCTAGGGGTGTATGGACAGCCTTTGACTTTAAATACTGGAGGGAATATCAGAGGTTAAGCGCTGCTATCAATTCCCTTCCTCCCTTTGAAAAGAATGAAGGAATTACTAAAAGTAGCTGGCTTCAGATTTTCCATTTATGGAAGAAAAGACCAGGTGATGGCAATTTGTAGAACCGAAACAGGCTTTACAAACTTCAGGTCCGAGGGATTTATATTCAACCACAGTGCCAGGGGCCAACAGTCACGTATAATTAGATTTTGCAATTTGCTTTTAGAACTAAGAAATTCAACAAATAGTTATTTTTTTTCCTCATAAATTAGAGAACAACTTGAATTTCCATCTTCCTAAGTTTGTTCTTAAAACAAGCCCAAAGCTGTTGCAGCAGCCTAGGACATTCAACTCACTGAATTTCTGCTTTCTTAAAATGTCATTTGGTTTGGTGCTGTGTTAGACCGAAGATTCATTAAATACCTGAATGCGGTCGGTATAGTTGTCCAAGAGAAGAACACCCGAGCTCGCGACTTTCTTCGTTTCCACCATGGTTTTCAGGTCTGCCAGCAGGCTCATATGTTTGGACATATCAGTTGCTAACACCTTGGGAACAAACAAAAATGAAAGCGTTCTAGTATATCCAATCTATAAGAGAGAACCGCACAAATTGAGCATAGAAGGCAGCAAGGCTGATGTCTTACCATGTCGATGACCATCTTCCTGAGCGTCTGGCGCTGCTTCTTGGTGAGATTCTGGAAGATGTCACAGTGCTCTTCTTGCAGCAGCTTGAAGCCCACGGCAAGGTGATGGTTCTCCAGCACAGATTCATCATTGTACATCAAAGCGAGTTCGGAATCTAATAAATGAGAAGACATGATGATACAGCATAAAAGCTACAGCAAGACTCAAAATACGTAGCTAGAACTGTCCACCTCAAACACCGGCATTACCCCAGTGTGAAATCAAATATAGACCTGCACAAGAAGCACCAGCCATAGGGCACTGCCTCTGAGAGAAGCAGAAATAGTTTTCAAGCACAAAATAAAAATGCTTCGAGCAGATATTGGTACTTCCACTTTCTCTTTGGCTAAAAGAATATTGCTTCTTATGTTTTCAAGCACAAAATAAAAATGCTCCGAGCAGATATTGGTACTTCCACTTTCTCTTTGGCTAAAAGAATATTGCTTCTTACAGTCCTTTCTCTCCTCTTACCCCTCAGGTGAAGAAACTGACATTAGATAAAACCACCCCAAAGCAACTAAGTCATATTTTTATCTCAGCTTATAATTTCCTTTATGTCTTCGTACAATTTATGCTTCAGAAAAGAATGAAATGAAAATACAACTGAACTTTATCTTGTGCATTAGGATTTTCAAACCGTATTCACTTTTACACATGCTCCCTGATGTCCGTCAATGGTGAATTTACAATTTGCAAAGAAGATAACGTGTAAAATTTTGTTTTACTCAAATAACGCAGCTTTTTGAAACTTTCTATAAATGTGACAACTGGACATGAATAATTTTTTGACATCGAACTTCTTGTCTCCTGCCTCTTTACACCAGATATTGTGATATAGGCAGGTAACTACAGGTACCTAGATGTCTTCTGCTAGATAGTGCTCTGTGCTTGGAAATACAGTTATCAAATTCATGAAATCACATTTTCTCTTAATCAAGAATGATAGCCAAGTGATGATAATGTGCTCCTACCTACAGTGCTATCACTTACATACCATCACTTTAAGGGTGTGCTTGGAGTTACACCCCTCAGGAAGGGTGGCACACTCTCTGAAACTACCTGAGGATTCTATTCTGCTCCCCTGTGCAGTTTGTATAACCACAGTTGTGTAAGCAGGCTTCTACTGTCCACAGTAGAAAGATTACTTTCCTGGATGAAGCCAACTGGTCTACATATGGGTCCATTCATGGCAGCACATTAAGTCGGCTGATATAACCCTTGCAGACAAATAGCTGCCCAAAGTTTATGTTCTTTTGGTAGAAGAATGACATTTTTTACAACAATGTACTCTCAATTTAAATGACTTGTATTCTGATGATAAAGCACAAGGACTGACAACAAGGATTCTCTTATAGCAAGTACCTCAAATATCATTTTAATACAACTGTCAGCACTTGTCACTCATGAACATAACAGGATAGCCACTATTCTCAGAGGAAAAAGTACTTAGATTTTCAGCACATAGACAATGGGGAGTGAATTTTATTAGTATAAAAACTATACATTATGAGTTTGACAAACCTTTGAGTGTGGCTGGGGATCCTAAGGCCATACCGTCCCTGGGGGCCACTAGGTCACCTTCCTGGCTATGGGCCAGTCCATAATCAAACCCAGGCAGTTGGGAGTGAGTGTGTGGAACCTTCAGTGGCTTCAGCTCCTAAACTGGGGAAATCCTATGCCAGTGCACGCGGGGCCAACTTACTGATGTTTGAAGGTTCCCTTGCAAAGGTACAACACCTGCAGCTGCTTCTCCAGCAGAGAGAGACACTAGCACATCCCTATGCTGTGTGAGAGAGCCCTGCATAAACCCAAAGTCATTGGCCTGTTATCGCCAGCACTGGCTCCCTGCCTTTCTACATAATTCCAAATCTGTTATTTTTTCCTTTCCTGTCATATTTTCCAAACTTTGAATACTTCTACTTCTCACTGACCCTCTTCAAATTCTCCATGCAGTTCAAACCTTGTGTTGCCAGACTGGACACAGTATCCAGGAAAGGCCTGAAGTGTTTCAGTGGAAAGGGAGGATTACCTCATTATTACCCTTGTTATTATCCACAGTGAAAACATTAGGAGAAAAAAATGCAATGAATCATGCAATTATCCGCATGACTGTTCCGCTGGTGAACTCACTTGTGTTGATGAGGAACTGGTTGGAGACTCCAGGATGATCAACGTCATGGATGGCAGCTGCAAAGATGGCGGCCAAGATTTCCAGATCCGTGAAGACCGCCTGTGGAGCAAGAGGAGTCCGTTTAAGTCCACATCCAGTTGCCTTTCTAGCATTTCCTTATTGCTGGGGAGGGGCAGATGGTTTGTATAATAGCTCAGCAGGACAAGTTAATTAAACATGGATTCCATTCACCACCATGGAGTCTCTGATGTGAAAAGGATGATGTCCAGAGCTGGTTATTACGTCAAGCTGAGGTTTGGAAAGTCAGTAGCACAATGCACTTGGTGTGTGTGTATGTGTGTGTGTGTGTGTGTGAACACCTGGTGTTTGTTTCTTGGACCAGTGGTGTGGCAGCACAATGATTATGTAACACAAGTAAACACAAGTAAACACAAGTTAAAGGAGCTTGTCAGACTGGCTCTGCTCTGAGATATGCTAACCTTCATATTCTGGCTGAGCAATTGAGAGAAAAAAAATCTAAATTCCAGACTTGTAAAATAAGCTATCAATTACTTCCCGAAGCTAAATTCATAGCGTGGTCAGTTTTCATATAGGCATTCATTCAGCACATATCCATAACATGTTTGCTATGGGCAGGATTTGAAGACATTTCCCAGCTCTTTGATGCCCTGTCATGAAGGCTTCTGGCTACCACCTGGGCACAGAGATTTCAACCTAGTATTTATTAGTGACAGAGTGCAGCTCATTCTAGGGCAGAAATTTCTTTTCTAATCCTCTGGTCCTTCAAGTGCCAACTACCTCTTCCCGGAAGAACAGTCCTAATATATTAGCATATGTTACAGTCTCCTTTGTCTACAGGTTGAAGGCATTCATGGCCAATTTCTGGCCGCAGGATGGTGATCAATAACACCAGACAATGATAAGTAGTGTTGCCCCACTGTGTGGAATTCATAAAGAGTGCAAAACCAATACTGTCTCTGTCCTTCAGAAGATCAAGCATTAGCTCTTCTCATTTTCCCGGTTTCTCCTCGATTTCTCTTAGAAATCAGGGAGGCCAAATCACAGAACTGTGCACAGTTTATAATCAATCTTTCTTCATCTCCTGAACTGAGTTTATACAGGTGCCAGCCCCTTGCTGCAGTGGGCCAGCACACTTGGGAACTACCTGGCAACCAACGACCCGTGCCCAGTGGGAGCACGGCTGGGCACACTGCTGAGTACACTGGTCCGTAACAGAGCATCCGTCTGCAGCGGAAGGGGACACGGCCACCTCCTCTGATCTTCACTGTCTCCATGGCACACTATTGCTCTTTGCAACACTATTAATTCTTCTGCTGTAGATTTTCAGTTACTTTTTCTTTAACCTAGAATATCCACCTGCCAAATTCCAAAGAGAACCAGCCTGTGGCTGCCTATTCCTAGCAGGAACAATGCAAAGAATTTTCTGGGATATGCCCGTGAGACCGCTCCCGGGGCCTGGGATGGTGTCAGCGAAGTCACAAAGTCCACGCATGTTGCGGATGCACCAGATACCAGGCGCCAGACACTCAGCAAGACACTTGTGTTCCTTATTAGGAATACAGTGAGAAATAAAGCACGGATGCTGCTAATTAATAATTAAGTAATTTGTCAATTGGAAGAGCTATAAAGGAAAAGTTATCCAGCTATCAGAAAGCAAAGCAAGTAGCTGTATCACCCATTTTCATAAATAACAGAACTGATGAGTACTACATGTAGTAAATAACAAACTAAATATCTGGGGACACGCAGTGACGTTATATATTGTAAACCACATAGTAGCTTTAAACGAGGACGGACAGGCAGGGAGAAATAGATTGTGACTACTCACATCCAGTGCTGGCGTGGAGAGGAGAACGTGGGTGGACTGGGCGACGTCGGCGGCATGCAGGCTGTTGTGGTACGCCACGTCAGAGTGGTAGTGGTCTTCCAAGGTCATCATGTAGGTCACAAATGTGTCAGATGAGATTTTAAATGTCTTTAGGAGGTCTCTTTCCTGAGTAGTAAAATGGATTAGGATACGAATAAGTGGGCGTTCAAAAGTGGACGAAAGCAAAATCACAGACATAGTCCGGGATGGAGAGAAAGAACTGTCCGTTGGGGTTCCCAAGCTCGGTCCGCAGAGACTCACCTGGAATATGGCATACATGATGCACGTCAGGGGCCGATTGTGTGAGTATCCTGCCACATTGAAGATGTTAAGCCCCCATTTGTTCAGGTCTTCTAGCTCCTGGGGTCAAAAGTAGAGGAATTCAGGCATAAGGATAGTTTTCACATTCACTTTTAAAACTTTTATGTCTTGGACACTGGTTGCCTAAGTCATCACAATATCTATTTAGATGTTTTCCTTGTATGAAAATCTGGAAGCGGAATGGCCTAGAAGGTGGGATACCCTCTTCATGATAACTACAAGTTTCTACACACTTCCTTCTGGTTGGAAGAGGGAAAGCAGGTATCTATTTATAAATGGAGTTGCTGACCTATATTTACCAGGCATCAGCGCCAGCCAGCTTTGCTTTCGAAGGCGGCATAAATGAATAGGGAGCACGACGGGTCCATTTCCCTGCCGCTCCCTGCCCATCAGTGACAGCTAGAAAGCAGGGTCAGAGAAAGTCCTCTTCCCTTTGGTTAGAGCACTGAAGCCAGGTTGGAGAGGCTCGGCTGTCTCCCTGTGCAGAAGTGAAGCCTGATTTCATGCGAAAGGTTGCAAAGAATGCCAGTCACGGATTATATCCTAAGGCCCTGGGCTACAGTCAGACCTGGAAGAAAACTCACTCAGGCCTGTGTTGTGGGATTACTTTAAGATTATCTGATCGGAGGTGTAATTTAACAACTGCCTAGAGGCTCAGCCCCTGGCTTAATCAACCTTGCTCTAAGGGCAGCTTTCAGAAGGCCTCCCCGAAGGTTCTTGCATCAGTGCAAACTCCTCTCTCCTCTGACCGGGCTGTGAGAGCCTCAGAAGGCACCATGTGCAGCCTCTTCAAGGACCCAGAAGGTGGCTCTCTGCCTTCCTCCACTACTGGGCTTCGGGCTCAGGAGACGGTGGTGCTGCCGTCTCTTCGTGTCTCCTCCAGCCCTCCCAACCACTGCAGATCTTCCCACTGGCCCTTGGCAGACAGTCCCCCAAATGTCCCCTGGGATAAATCAGAGCTGCCAACTAAGGACATGAAAGGGTCTTTTGGTAAGGAAGAAGGATCTTCAACTAGGAGCTCCAGCAATGGACAAAGAGGCTCTGACAGGTCCTTTGTTATAAAATGTAACGACAAAGCAAAGGGTCCCTGCTGCTGTTCTGTGGCTGGGAGGTGTCCCACTCCGAGCACACAACCCCAGCTCCCACGCACCTTGGCCAGGTGATCTTCATTTTCTGTGTTGACTCCGAAGCGGGAGATGCTCGTGTTGTTTAAGCTTGAGCTGTGCATCAGTTTCTTCACCCCACTTATCTGCGTCATCAGCTGCTGCTTCTTCTTCTTCTCCCTGTCTTTCTGGGTGGGGGAGGGGATCTCCACATCATTCTGCTTGTCTGCAACAGACAAAAGGGTGCACTTTTCAGCACGGATGTGTAGATGAGAGCACATGCAATATTCTAGACAACGCTCCCACGTGCAGTGAGTTTTTGATCTTATAGAAGACTTGCGGTATGCTCTTTCTGGACCTCCAGGCCAATGCTATAGAGTGGGCAGGAAAGGTATGTTTTATTGCTCATGTGATTGCTAATTACACGGAGGTCTGAAAGAGCTAAGCAACTTGTGTAAGAGGTGGCAAAGTGAAGACCCAAGCCCGATATTCTCTTCTCAGTAGAACTTAGAAGAGCTGTTATGTTCAAGATGCAACAGGAACACTTATACGTAATGTTTTTACTGAAGTGAGTAATCTATATGCTTGTGTAACAAGAAATATTCATCAGCCAGCTAACCCCAGGTTAACAGCAATAAGCTTCATGTTTTGCTCTTTTTATTATGTTTTCCACTATTTTTTTTAATTTTAAAAATTTGGATGACTTTAACTGGGTTAAGTTTAAGTAGGAATGATAAATGGTTTACATGCTCTTCAGATGAGTACCCTGAAACCTTGGTTTATTAGCATTTGAGGTTAAGAGAAAGATTATATTTTCAGTTTTACTTTATGCTTTATGTCTATCAATTCCCCGTTTGAACAATAAGGCCTCTCCTTTATAATAGGAATTATTTCTACTAACATATTTATGCTCATTAAATATTTATAGTCATTTCACTTCATATTTTTTAAAAATTTGCTACAAGGTCGCCACAAGGCTAGCAGTAGTGAAAGTGTCTTTCTGCTAGTAGCAGCTCTTTCTTTTACATGGCGCTGTGAAAAATACCAGCAATCACCTATCCTGTATCACTTCCCAGGAAGACGGATTATCCTGAGAACTTCTGAGACAAAATGCATTCACTTTTTCAGGCCTGGGGATGCTGGTGAACACACGGAGGTGATAACAGACTCCGTTGCTCCACCACGACTTCGCTGGCCTGAATGTCACCCTGTGGCAGCAGAGCTGAGGTGGCTTTCAAAAGCAGCCACATCCATCTCTGCTTGTTACAGTGCCGATCAGTCCAGAGACAACCTCTCCACTAGAAAATGCTGGGATAGAGACGATTAGACTCTTGTGGACGATGCCATAGTCACACGCTGTCCCCGGGGTCTTCTGCCTCCTGTGAATATTCATCCCCGAGAGATCACCCCAGCTTCCTGTACACCTTGTCACCTGGCTCGTGGGCTAGAGCAGGGTTATTCTGCATCCCTTGCAGCCCCGGATGGCTTTTCCATGCTCATCAGCCTCTAGACTGTGACTTTTGAGCGGGGAGGAATCTTAATCATCTCAATTAGTTTAGAGGTTTCCAACCTGGTCCTGCACCAGAAGTACCCAGGAAACTTCCATCTGCAGACTTACGGGCCCTACCCACCCTGTCCTCCTGAGCCGGAAATTTTGCCAAGATTCCCTTGTGATTTGGGTGATGAGAGCCGGGGCTAGGAACCAGTGATAATTCCATTCTCTCATTTTTCAGATGGAGTCGGCAACGTGCCCAACCTCAAAGGACAATGTATTGAACAAATATTTATTTCACAGTTACTTCGCTCCGGGCACAGCGATTTACCAGCACAGAACCTGGGCCCTGTGGTTTCCGTGAAAAGTCTCTCTCCTGCCATGTAATCTCTGGCATAGAAACTATATACTGTATCATTCTTGAAGCTACTTCTCGAGCACTTCCCTCCTAATAATTACTACAGTTTGCTCAAATGAAAGGGCACAAGAGCCCCTGCCTTTCCCGATCAGCACGGTTCACGTCTGGCTAAAGAGGCTGTTAGACGCCCCTGCACCTCTTCGGGGAGAATCATCTTGCCAGGGGCTCCCAGCCTCCCCAGGGAGTGAGGGAGCTGAGCCACGGAGGCAGGGACAGGGTTTCCCTGTGCAGGCTGGTAGGCTTCCTTGTTCTGAATTTCCTCTGTTCCATGCTTAGCCAGCGCATGTGGAAGCGGCCTGAGACAGGCTGTCACAAGGGCTCCTCAGCAAATTTACACTTAGAGAATCGTCAGAGTGCAGGGGGAAGTAGCGGGCCAGAATAAAGCACGCCAGCACAGACAGCAACAATCCCGTCTCAGGCACGCCCTGGTCCCGGCATTACTTAGAGCGCTTTCCTTGCTAGGTCCCAGCATCACGTCATCCTGAAAATTCCTAAACCCTTTTCCTCACATCTTGACAATCCTAAGTTCTAGTTTTTCAAATGCTTTTTTTTTCTGTCTGTAAAAATATTAGCTCAATTGCAATCTAAAATGTGAAAATCTTTTTTTAAAATGTTCTTTCCATCTACGTCCCTTTTTATTACCCTAATATTACATACTTTGATTTCCATTCACCCCAGCAATCTGGAAGCCATTGTCTGATTCACAACATCTGTCAAGGACCGGGATCAGTCAGTGGTGTATTGCCTTCTTTTGCACCTATCCAACTGCACACTATCTTTCTAGGTGGAACAACACAAGTTTCACAGATCCCCAGATTAAGGGATTTCCTTTCTCCCTGGGTGACACCCTTTAACCTGCAGTGACTTACTGAGTACTGCTTTTCAGATTAAACGGTAAGGTCAGCATCTCCACGTAAACTGCTCACTGGATGATTGCCATGCTCTGACCAAAGCCTTCCAGACTACTAAAAACTGTGGATCAACATCTTGTGTTTTAGGCTCAATGCTCTTGATACCTAAAGACCTGTTTCCTACCCAACCCCCAAATAATGTGCATGTTACTTAAATGCCTCTAAATCTGATTATCTTCTATATGTCCTGAACCCCTCATAGGAGTGGCAGGGTATCTAAGTTCAGAAATCAAGAAGGCTAAATCCTAGTTGTGGCTCAGAAATGCATTAGCCAAGTGACCTTGGTCAATTAATTTATTCTCCGAGTCCTCAATTTTCTTTCTTCTAAAGGAGAAATTTGTACCAACAGGACAGCACAGTCCTTCTGAGATCTGACAGTTTGTGTAGAAGCCTTGATAGTCCTTCAAGAGACTCAGCCACTCACAAGATAGAACTTAGAGTTCCAACTCCTGCCATTTGGAAGCAGCTTTATTTGTATGTTTATTAATTTGTTTATTAACATTGTCAAATTGCAAGCCCATGGCTCACCACAGAGGGTCCAGGTTGTCAAGTATGTCTTGGTGAAACTAAAAACTCAATCCATATCAGAATTTTGGAATCCAAACACAAATGCACCATGAGTTGCTTCATCTGTAAAATGGGAGGACTATTACATAGTTTTTTTCTGTATTTGCCTAAGAACTTAAAAAATTCTAATCTGCCTGGGTCGTCTGAACGATAAGGTTTACCACACGTGTGCACGTGCGTACATACACACAAGCACATACTACCCTCCAAATGCTAAGAGTTCACAAGAACTGGGATTCTAACAGCTCTAGATAATCTAATCTTCAGAGTAATAATAAGAAGCCAAACAATTGGTTTTCTTGAAGATATGTGCCTAAGTAGCAAACAGAATACTTGAGGGTAGACATCTGTCTGTCCCTGTGATAGGAAGTGTTCAGATTGACAGCTTATCTCTATTATCTTATCCGCCTTCCTCCTTGATAGCCAGTGCTGATAACAAAGATTAATTAGAACATGAAAGTATCCTTGTTGTCCTGGGTGAGTGGGTATTGGAAGAGACTGCAAGTAAGAGGTCCTGATTGCTTAAGGAAAGGCTTAGAGACTTCCAGTCTCTTCTGCAGAGACAGAAAAGCTCCAGTATTTTAAAAGGCAACGTTTATTAAAACAAAATGATTTCTTGCACTCACTGACTTTATTCTTCTCTACTGTAGTCAATAGCCTACACGTGTTCCTAACACAGCCCCCAGCTTATGAAATGCTCCCTGGAAGATGCCCGTGTTCAAACGGGCGAAGGGGGAAGTACGGAGAAGAAAAGGAGCAGTGCGGGATGTCTTCTGTCCCATTGGACGCTAGCCACTTCTGGGATATGGGATGCATAAAAAATTCCTCTTCTTTGTTCTCTGACAAAGGCTGTTGCAACTGCAGCTGGGGAAAAGCAAGTTGCGGCGCTCACACACAGAGCTGGTTAGGAAAGCACCTGATAATCACAGTCAGAGCCCACGAGCAGCCCAGGAACGTGGTGAGCTTTGTGCTAGGCTGCTCAGAGAGAACGCTGATTGATCTGCTGATAGCAGGAACTGCTTTGGTGTTGGAGAAACAGAATTGATTTTTAAGAATAAAACCAGAAGAGGTGTGTACTTCCACAGCGTCAAGGCAGACGCCATTGATTTAATGATATGGGCCTATGCCAAGAAGTGAGGGCGTGAGTCTCAGCTGAAGGATGGGTCATTTCCTTGGAAAATGGAATTTTATAAACAAGCATAATTTAGCGGTCCACAGAATCGGAATCTAAATGCTGCTCATCCACACTGAAGTACAGAGTTGTGGGATCTGTAGATCTTATTACATTGCAGTATCCAACTTGGTCCATTCTACAACTGAATTGCCTTTAAACCTGAGATCGGAAATCCCTAACAGTCACACAAGATTCGTGATAGTGACCGAGGAGGCTTCATGCAAACCTTTTTGTCAGGGTCCTGTGTTAATTATTAGCAATGTAAGAACAGAAGATACCAAAGGGCTATGTTGGGAGGACAAAGGTTTTGCTTAGTGAAGACCCAACCTTTTAAAGATGTGGAAATTCTCCCCTTCCTTCACTATTTGTCTTTAAGAAAAATAATTTGGCAAAGCAATCGTCTAATTACTTCCAAAGCTCATTCTCATGGACTCACTACAGTTACTGTTCCTTACAGAATATCCTAGAGGAAACCTGTTTCCCAAAGTCTGGTTATTGGAAGAGTGAAAGACTCAGTCACAGGAGCTAAGGCAGCCTAGCTAGTAGCGCTTTGGTGGTTGGCCCTGCCCCACTCCTTTGGAGGTCTTGGCAGAGAAGGAAGTGGGTGGGTAAATCACAGATACCTGTGGTCATACAAATACAATGAGCCTGTAATAACCTTCCGCCCTGAATAGGTTTTAAAATTCTTTTTTAAAAAGGAAACATCATCTTCCTGCTTACTTTTCCTTTTAAAGATTACCTTTAGTTCTTATTTTAAACAGATATGGGTTTCTATGACCTAAACCCATTCCAAACTGACATGGGATTCCTTTCACGGGTCAAAGAATTTCACTTTGAAAAACTCAGCCATGCGACAGGTTTTGACCAGTTCATGTCTTACCTAAGAAAGTATTTGAAATGTATTCTGACACCTGGTTCCCAGACCGGCTCATCTCTGAAAGGTGTGTCAGCTCCCGGTTCAGCATTCTTTTGAACTGTTTATGAAAAAAAAAAAAAATGCATTAGCTGTCTTTAAAAACAGAGAAAATGATCACTTTCAATGTTTCCAACTTTACTTTCTAGGAATCAGGAGACCAGACCAGCACATAGCATCAAATAAAAATGATTATCGATTCTACAGAACATAACACCCCTTAATTTGATGTTATTTCAACACCACTTTAGGAAACATTTTCTTAAGATGTCTTAGAATTGACACCTGATTTCTTCTGAAGATTCAAAGACAGGGTAAGGAATTTAAAGATCGTTCTACTTGAAAAATGTAACTATTTTAAAAAATGCATTTATTGAGATGACTTTAAAATTTAATTTGAGTTGGTAAGCTTTTCAGTGAGAGGTGAAGAAGTGAAAAGTTAAAGGAAAAAATGAAAGAAAAGAAAATCACCCTTTAAAAAACAGAGTTGCAGGAGAACAGGATGGAAACACCTCCCAGTATATTCAGACACAATGTAATACAACATGCCCTCGTTCAGAATAGGAACCCCAACGAGCTAGAGGAACCCACTAATCAAGTCATCATCATCCACATCCTCTGCTTCACAGAAAAGATGCTCGCATGCTATCCATCAAAGACACAGAGCGCAATCAAACGGACCCACCTTGATGTAGCCCCAAGATACAGATAACAAATAGTTTGCCTCAGGCATTTTGGATGCTCTTTTTGTCACAGTCCACAAATTCCTCTGAAAGAAATCGCTTTGGAGAGAGCAATCCCGAAATGATCAGGAATGCCCTGCAGAAGCAGTGGTGAAATAACCAAAATTTAGAAAAGATAAAGCCTCCATCATTGATGGCATTTCCTAATGGAAACAAAGCCCATCTTCCCACTCTCTTCTTGCAAGAAGCCTGTGCTCCCGCCTCTTTCCCGGCAGAGGAGAAGAGTGAGATCAGGTTGTGCGAGGAGGAGCTGCGCGCCTGTCCAAATGCATTCAGCTGCCCTCAGCTCTCATCAATTATGAGCGGTCCGAGCGGCCGGAGGGGCTTCCTCCCCAGCTCCATCCTGCTTGGCCACCTCTGCACACAGCAGCACTTCTGCTTCCAGCAGGGGAAACTCAGCCATCTTTTAAAAAGGAGAAGATTGAAATGGAGGAAGCCCCATGAATATTTAAGGGAATTTGAAGTCCTGCCCTCCCGCATTGCTGCGGGGTGCTCCTTAACCCTCTCTCTCCCTGCAGGTCTGTTCGCTGCAGATGCACCAACAGCCCAGCAGCTCCGGTGCTTTCAGAGTGAGGGTGCCTTGGATTTACTCCCCTTTTGAGCATTTTTTAAAAAGTGGCAGAGGTTAGTTAGCACTGAAACTGTTTTCGGGCGAGGCTGCAAGTGTCTTTTTATTTTAGCTATAGCTTTTTTGGAGGGTTCTTTGCCCACCAACAGGGGACAGGCCCTTTTCGCCTTCTTTTACAATGAAACAGACATGGGGGAGACTAACAGGTTTCATAAAGTTGTTCACTGGCAGTGTGCAACTTGCTGCACTCCATCAGTTCATTAATATGCATATTGGACTGCACTGGACAAATGGGTCAAACTCATTTAACCTTTCAACCTAGGATTTAATGTGGGTTAAGGAACACAAGCTGTCAATCACTGAATGAATGGTATTATGCTGTTATGGGTGGCTATGTCGATTTGGTATTTTAGGGTTACATCTTCTTATTCATGTTGGAAATATTTAGGAGTCAAATCCATTTTTATTTCATTTTTACAACCTAGGGTAACCTTTCCTGCATGCAGCCCCTGCTGCCTTTTCTCCTCACCAGCACTTCTGCACAGGCAAGAAACCATCTGTGAATGCCCCCTGCAGTGGGGTTCCCTGCTTGGCCCCCTCTCCTCCGTCCCCTCTGCACCTCAGCCCCGCCTCCCGGATTCCTTTACAGCCCCTACAGGGAAGAGCACTGAGCCAGAGTAACCGCAACAGCCTTCATGGGGGATTGCCCAGGCGTCCCCTTCCCACGGGCATCCTGCACCCAGCCAGACCTGGGCTGTCCACTTCCCAGAGACCCGGTCTTTCCAGGAGATGGCAATGCAAACCAGCATGGCTACCTGCAGGCGCCCTGTCTCATGCACGGTCCTCGCGAAAGCCCAGTTGCCCTTTTTCTGGGGAACCTTGCTTGCATACATGGATGTTTTCGCATGAGACAATGTGTTTGTAACCACAACCAGGCATCTCTATGTCAATCGTGTCAGCCAATGTACATTACTTATTGAGAACTTCTGTCTCACTGAGCGTTTTGCATAAATCTCATGTTAATAATTTCTTTTACAATTCAAGTGCTCTATTCCAACTACCTCTCCTCTCCACTTCCACTGAAAACTTAGGAGCAGAAAGATAGGTTTATATGCTCTGATTGACCTGCTGAATTTTAGCAAAGAAGCAAGCTTCTCTTAGACCACTGAAAAATATCTTATAGAAAGTATAGGGATAGATGATTTGTCCCATAATTTTTCTCTGCACTAGTCTGAACCAAAGGTAACACTCAAACAATTTCTTTCTTGTTTGGTTTCTTTCAGTATTGCTGAAATACTTAGGGGTATTTTGGATTCACTTTTGTAGTAGTTCAATAATGACATTTTATCATGTATTCAAAAAATATTTATTAAATACCTAAAATGGGCAGGCCAAGCAGTGAAGACACAGCAATTAAAGAATGAATGAGCCTTTAAAAACTCTTTGCATGCACTAAAACGACTGTCATTCTTGCCGAAACAAACATGTTAGGGCGCATGGGATAACTACAAGAGTTAACAGTCCGCAGAGGGTGGGGACAGTTCTATTAGCCATACTGGCATCTAAACTGAGAAGGTAGGGATAGGTGGAAATTGAAGCACTCTAGAAGAAGCAGTAATTTCCTTTTTCTTTTCGTTCTACAGGTTCCTATTGCAGGAGGACCCTCTGGGAGATGGTGCCAACCAGTCCCAACGTGGGAGCAGAGGGGTGACTCTCAGCCCTAAGGACTGAAAGCAAACCACTCCCCGTTCCTCTCTCCTTCTGAATCAAGAATGCAGAAGGCGTCCGTGTGCTCATGTAAGTAGTTAACCGATGAACATCGTCTTCCTTTTCCCATGCTTAAACAAATTCTTACGAGACTTTTGCCAAAGGCATGGCATTGCCATCAGAAAACAAAGTCATCTTCAGGCAACCCCAGGACATGCAGCATGAACAAGTACGCAAACAGAGGTCACTCAGGGTCAGCAACCAACCCAGCCTTTTCAATGTTGCTTAGCAACAACTCTTGGTTTTCCTCCTGTTTGTAACCGCACTGACTAAGGCAATCATTGCTCTCATCAAAAAACACTTATGAGGGGCCCACTTATGTTGGGCTCTGTGCAAAGTAAGAGGGGGCAGACATAGCCTTCAAGGGCCAGACAGGGAGTGTCTTTACATTCTAAGTGAGGTAGCATCCCATTAGTAAGAGGAGGGCTGGCCTGGGGGGGCAGACACATCAAAGGGTGGAACACACGGGACATACGTTTGAGGTTAAGGCTGAGGAGCCAGCTGGGAAGCTCAGCAGCACTGGCAGCATCTGAGTCCCATCTGGGGTCTTTAGTGGAGAGCCAGAGGCAGCCCTGCCGCCATGGACCAGCCACAACTTTCATTCTCATTTCTCACCAAGGGTCTTGTGAGCTCACTTCACCTCTCCTATGTGAAATGAAGAGGATGCGTGATCGTAGGGTCTCAGCCTCTCAGCCCTAACCTTTCATGATTCTACGATAAACTTTGTGTCGGCTTCCTACAGTTTGGGCACATTACTTACCAGCAGCCACTACTTCCCCCCAAATACAACTGCCTCTGTACTACTGAGAAAAAGAGCAAAATGTAAGAAGTGCTTCAGTCAGTAGGAATAAGTCACCAGCAAAGGAAGAGAGGATTTATCATGTTTCAGGACTTGATAGTCTCAGACTCGTGGAGTCTCCTTGTCTATTTATGCAGTTAAGGGTTTAATCCAGATAGGAATGTAAACTGGGTCCTGATGAAACTGTGTCCCAAGGAGTTATGAGATTGGAAGAGAATGGACACTATTTACTTCATCAGATGCACTAGAGAAATGCACAAACAAGAGCTTACTATTTCGAAGATAAATGGGTCTCCAATGTCTGATGTACACAGATCCTACTTTTCTTTAAGAATCTGTCTTCACAAGAAAACCCTGTTAGAGCTTACCTAGAAATAATGTCCCCAGAGGAAATGGCCAAAGCTCCTTTTCAACACAGACAAGCAGAGTTTGTGAATGAACCCTTATGACACAAATCTTGCAATGCCTCTCTAAGCTCCCCATGCTAGATTTGCAAATACTGTTTTAAAAAGGGCAGTTTTTGCAAAAAGAAGAAGGTGTCATTTTCCATGGAAATGACTGAGTGCTGTTTACCTGTAGTATATCTTTTCTATAAAATCATCTGCAATTTTTAAAACAGGTTTCCTTTACAAGTCAGAAATGATGGACTGTGTACGGTGGCTAGCAGCAGCTGAAAATTAGTTGCACTTGTATGACCATCTTGTTCTATGGCTCTGTGTTTTTCTTTAGTTTCAACGCTGTCTACGGAAATTAGTGTCTCCTGAGCTGATTTCTCTGAGGTGATAAAATGTTATCATTTGTCTATGCTTCTCTGCAGAGGACTAGTTATAGGCTGTACAAAGATCCACAGACAAGCCGGACATATCCTGATAATGAGAGCTTACACTGATCTCCCAGAGGGAATACTGCAATGATCTGAATCATTAAAAATCTGAAATTTGGTGTTTTTATATTTAACATCAAATACACAAAAGCGCTGCCCTTAAGACTAGTCTAGGTTTGTTAGGGGTGAGTCCTAAGTGATCAAATATAACCTATCAAAGATGAGGTAAAGCAGCAGGCAATGTCTTCTCAATGATAACCTCTTCATGAAGTCAGTGGGAGAAAATTGTAAGGACGGAAAAAAAAAAGGTGCCAAAGAGAGGAAGACAGCCCCATAGTGACTCTTGTGGGTGGCCGTCTAC